CCTCATTAACTGTGTAATTAAACCTAGAATACTGGATGTACACGAACTGTATGTTACACTCAACCTCCTCATTAACTGTGTAATTAAACCTAGAATACTGGATGTACACGAACTGTATGTTACACTCAACCTCCTCATTAACTGTGTAATTAAACCTAAAAATACTGGATGTACACGAACTGTATGTTACACTCAACCTCCTCATTCTAGGGTTTATGTTTGTTGTTGTTGTAAAATTAATCCTTTAAGTCACACAAAATTGTGTTTTTTGGATTATTCTCCAGGCAACCATAAAAATTAACACAGTCGGAAGTGAATAACTCAACTTCCCCTTTTGATAGCAACAACAAATTGTTGAATTATTTTAGATATAATTGAATATTTTAATATTTAAATTAACATTTTTCAAGTAATGACATTGTCGCTTGAATTGATTAATTCCAGGACGAAAATGGGTTTGTTGGGATGCCAGATGTTTCCATATTCGTCTTCATCTTCGCCCCATGTACTTAGAGCGCCCCCGGATTTCCGAGATGTATTTTTCTATATGTATAGATTTATCTAGTCATGCGAATAGGGAAGTTGATTTATTTATTTTTTACAATTGAAAGTGCGAACTCCTTCACTGTCAGAGTTTTCTATAAATGAAAAACATACATGATTCGCGAACTTGCATCAAAATATCTTGTTTAATTTCAGGTTATAGCTTTCCTTGAGTCGTAGAGGGAAACGTTAGCTATGCTCCGTCTTTTTTCTGCCCCCGGCTTAGATGTATAGACATAGCACGCCACCAGAGTTGTGCAGTGCAGACCGTTTCACGGGGGGAGATGGGGGAGGGGCGACAGCATTGCTACTAGAAAGCACAAGTGTTCTCTGACACGCGCCTCAGATCCAGAAGCATCACCCTAAGCGCCAGACACTGGGAATGCCGCTTTGCATGCTGTTCTCGTAGATTGGAGGATTAGATGCGTGCAGGGATGCTTGTCTGACGCTCGAGGCCTTGTGCTACATGGAGTCGTGTACGCAAGCAGCCCAGCGGCCGGCTCACTAATGTAGAAACAAGAGTCGCGTACCGTTGATCTTCACTGCCTCAGTGTCTATTGCCTTATTATCAAAAGTTCCTAAAGACTCATAAGTACTCACAAAAAAAAAAAAAGAAATAAAAAAGCCGATCGAACTGCAACTCAGTTTTATTATTTAATTGTTCTGGCCTTGCTGAATCAGCAGAAGGAAAGGAAGATACAGGAAGTAACATCCGAAAACTTGTATTTCTGGAAACATTTAGTTCTAAGACTATTTTCTGTTACGTCCGTCGCTATCGTCCAGTGCAGCGGAAGTTGATAATATCCAGCACCGATAAGATGTAGCCAACGCTTGAAACTGTCAAGAGTTATAGGCTTAATTACCGGCTCCACTAATTCTGGCTCTGAATTCGCGTCTGCGAAGAGCAAGCAGTTTCACGCAGGCCATAAGGGCCGTTTCTGAAGTTCAGACTCAACAAAACTGCAGCTTTGATCTACGTTATTTGACATTAAAGAGGTAAGGAACGACTGCCATCCCGCACGACCAGGTCGGTCAGTAGTCGCGACACCTACTCGTCACCGCAGTCTGCTGGATGACCTTTTACATTTTCCTAAACGCGCTCCAGTCTTTGACCATGGTCCAGTGAAGAACTTATATCTGTACTAGCCAACGATGGATAGTGTCAATATACACCCCTTTCTCCCGCTACTGTGGGCAAGCAAGTTCGGGCCTCGCATGCCTTGGCCTGCCCCCGCCATTCTCGATTTGTCTAAGACGCCCCCTTTGTCCCCAGGTAAGCCGAAAAATCATAAAATTTAATCGTCACATTTAAGTGCTAACCTTTTTGTTCTGTGTCGTGTCCGCTAGTATTAAAAATGCCGCTTCCGCGCAACTGGATGCGTTTAATTAACAGTGTTTATTTGCCTACATTTCAAGGTGTTGCTGATGTTTTGTAGTGTTTTATACTATATACGGCAAAAGTGACGTCAGATTCTTATTACCATGCATTTATGTGCTTAAATACATACATACACGAAGAGAAGTTTATTTTCATTGTATATTTACAGGTGTTATATTACTGCTAAATATTGTAGCGTGTTTACTCATTTACTAACGTGTTTATCTTAGACAGACAGTAAAACGCATTCCATTAATAAACCTTTAAGATACAATTATTTCTGCCAGCTTATACATGAGATACATGTGAAGGAACAGCCATGTTTAGCATGATAGCAAGGAAAACAAAAAAGAAACATGTGATGGTCCAGTTTTATTTTCCCTGTCAGCTTGGTATTTTACTTACTTTTCTCTGACTCATTTAGTAATAAAAAGCCGATAAAGCTGTCTATAACGTCTTACCGCTAACTCTCATTTTATTACAGAATATCACAATTAACACATATTAATGGATAAGGCGTAATTAGTGTGCTCAATTTATTGACCTTTGACTCTCAAAGTTAATACAAGTTATATTATAAGACTTGATGTGTACTCTTCAGTGAAATACTTGTTAAATAGACCTATCCACTCACCTTTGAATATGATAATAAATATTTATTACTAGACAATATGTTGTGTACCTTAACAACCTACATACACATGACAAACATCACCTCGTTCTCTATAAAATTCATCAATACTGTTATTGGATGGAATATTTTATTGTATTTCTTCACGTAAATACATATATAAAGTGCAGCAAATGGAAGGGTGTGAAATATATGTGTGTATATGCATTTTTCATGAAGATAATCTTCCTGTAAAACTATTTCATATATATATATATATTGTGTACCTTTACTGTTAAAAAAAATGGCTTCGTATAAAATCCTACTTTCAAATGCTTTCCACAAAAAAGCATGGGTTTATCGTGCATTTTTATGCATAAATACATGTTTTCTTGTGTTTTTTTTTTTTCTAAGTGACACTGTTTATCTTATATGACAAGTGCCGGTCCGTGTTTAAAGGAAGCACCATCTTCTTACCCCCAAAAACGATCACTCTGCCCTAACGAAGAAGTTCCTGTCGAGATTTTTCGCTCTTGCTAGCAGAAATGCAAAACTATCCCATTTATCTTTCGGTTTATGAACACATTTTGCAATTCATACACGTTGCCATGAGAAATGGAAGCAGGGAAGGTTTCATTGCCATTCGGTCGTCCCTGGTCTTTAAATCAGCCATGTATTGGCGTCTGAGGTATGAAACCGGCAGCTTGGGAGGTCTTCATGTTCAACATATGTATACACAGGCGACCGAGGAAGGCTTCAGACAGGAACGGTTATTTCATTCCCGCCTTTTTTCGGAAGAGGACACAGTTTTTGTAGCACTTCTGTATATTATATTTTTTTAAATCTATTAATGAAATCAGCTTGTCAATATGCCGTGGTTATCTGATTTTTTTTTAAAAGATATATAATTATTTTTTACATTTTTTTATCGTCTCTAGTTATCCATCAGAATATCTGTATATCCATTTTTTTTGCATGTATCTGAGTTTACTAAATTATATATCTATCTTTTCGTAATTTGACTGATATAGCTTGTTTTTCTTCATCAATCTATCTGTTTATCTATTCCTCTCAGCTGTCTGTTTTGCTTATCGGTTATTTTGTCTTCTATTTTTTCACTCGTCTCACTGATTTTCTGTCGTTTGTACATTTGTCTTATTTGTTTATCCTTTTTTCACAAGTACTACTCCAACCACCTTTCCATCATATTAGCTAACTCTTTGTTTATTCATCGTATGAAGCTATTTTTTTGTCGTTTGTACATTCGTCTTATTTGTTTATCCTTTTTTCACAAGCACTACTCCAACCACCTTTCCATCATATTAGCTAACTCTTTGTTTATTCATCCTATGAAGCTATTTTTTTGTCGTTTGTACATTCGTCTTATTTGTTTATCCTTTTTTCACAAGCACTACTCCAACCACCTTGCCATCATATTAGCTATCTCTATGTTTATTCATCCTATGAAGCTATTTTTCTGTCGTTTGTACATTTGTCTTATTTGTTT